AAACAGTAAGAAATAGTTAAATCATATAGTTTATGATTTATAAATACAGTAAATAGAGGAAGAAGACTAACAAATAGACAAAACAAGAAAATACAATTACATAATATGTATAATAAAAATAAAGCACGCAAAAACACGAATAATATTGCCGAAAACCAAAAGAGACTCAACAGTTATATAAACAACTATTATATTCTATTAAATCTTTTTATTAGTTAAATACGTACAGACGGATGTTGATTAGGAAAGAGCAACGAAAAGTAGGAATCACGGAATATTACAGGTCTTGTTTAAAAGAGAAAATTTGACAATGTATAGTTCGTCAAAAAATCGACATTCCTTTCATTATGTCTATATTATTTACAAAACAAAGATAAAAAGGAGAGTCAAAATGTAAATATAATGATTGTATAAAGTAAATGAAAATACATACACTTATATACAGGAAACATATATGAAAAAGAAAGAAATACATTTTCAACCTTTTTTATTAACTTTTATTTTACTGTTTCTTTTCATTATTATTTTACTGTATTTTTAATTAATTTTAGTGACATGTAAAGGTACAAAATAACATACATAAATTAAGATAAGGAAACACCGGTAATGAGGACGAACAAGGAAAGACACGGGTATTAGTTGTTTACTGTATAGATGATGTATATCATATAAAGGGTTTAATGAGGCCTAAAGTTGAGGTTTTTGGGTGTGGTTACTAGATGATCAAGGTGGACGTTTCGAGGATTGCTTCTTCGTTAGTGTTCGAATTGGGTTTTTAGATGAGCTTCAACGTCACAGGCGACTGGCAACCTGTAACGATGGTACAACGACCATCGCGTCTGTTGTGATCACATATGTAACTGTGATTTCTGATCGGTAATTTCGAAATGACATTCTAACGCTTTATCACATTCAGTGCCTTCGAAAGAAATACGTCGAATCAGTTGGATGCGTAGAAGCAGAAATTACGATAGCAAGACAAACTATGTGCCACCTATCTATCCTGGCTAATAAGTTTAATTAGTTGGTTTTTTTCAGAACAGACTGTCTCTACACAGCAGGAGATATTCTTGATACTTCGGATGGAAGATTATGGCGCCATCCTAGATCAGTCGAAAAATATCGCTTATCTACAGACCTATATCAAGCACGTTGTCTAGACGTTCCTGTTTATGCAGCTAAGCGAAGAATTATTCCTCCTTACCATGCTGCTCACCCCATATTAGAAGGCTGCCTTTAATAGAAGGCCAGTCTGGAGCGAAAAATTTTCGAAAACGCCCTATCAGGGATAGGGCAGTTTTTCACCAAACAAAGTGCGATGTGCGAAACCATGACAGAAGGCCATGGCCTACTATTCTGGGAGGGGGTTTACAGGAAAATTCGAGGTTTGTGGATTTGGAGCAGTTAGTGTATCATCTATAACAAAATAACGAAAGTATGTTTTGAGCTCGCGTTTGCGTGGTCTTGTAGTTCAGATTCCAAGGTTAGGTAATCGGTGGTTACTGACTTACAAGAGTTTAAAGTTAGCAAATTTTGAGGACAGCGGAATCTATGGTTTTTGAGGCTTTCCGTAAAATTTCAATATCTCAGCAACAAAACAACTTTTGGACTCGCTTCTTTTGCTATCAAAATCTTTGATCTAAAAGAGCCCCTAGTTTGAAAAAGTTTTGAAAACATCGATTGAAGAACGTCGGCCGTGGCTTACGTTGAATGGCTCTTAAAATAAGCTGTATAGTAGTTAATGCAGCTATGTGAAATGACAACATAAAAGAATATTGTCATTTCATACAGCTGCATTAACAATATAATTTAAATTAATTATGATTCGTCGCAGATCACTCATAATAACGTTTTTTGAAGCATAATTTAACATATAGCAAAATAATTATAAATTAACAAAAAGTACTGCAACTAATATTAATATAATTATTGTTTGAAGATTCGGTTTTTTCGTAAGTTTATCTGGATGAACCCTAAGAGATTCTAAAAGACTCGTTTTGTAGAGAAACGAACTTAACATTTGAATCACACGCAGTTTAAGTTTAAAATTATGCCAGTTCATCTGGAAGAAACATGTATACTGCTACGTGAGAATGATAGTGTCAGATTTAAATCATGATAGATTCATAAAGTTTTGGAAAACATTTTACAGAGAGAGGCAGGAACATAAGAAGAGTCTAATATTATAGTGATAATATCCTGAAAAGCTGTTTTGTTGAATTGTATTCAATCTAAATAAGTGTGATAATGTTCGGTTTATATAAAGAAAAACACGAAATAAAGATAAAAAACTATAAATTCGATCAATGTGCATCATTACCAGTTCAAAAACATGATAAATGGTTTCGTATACACGGTTGACAAACTCGCTCAAGCTACAGAAACAATGATTGATAAAATGGCTAATTTCGGAACTAATGCTATAAACAAGGCGGCTGTGTTGGGAAGCAAAACAATGGAGAAGATGACAAATGTTAGCAGTTCAGCGGTCAATTCATTGGTCAATGTTGGCACGCATGCGGGCACACAACTTACCGAAGTTGCCAAAGGAACAATCGCTGAAGTGGGACAAACAACAGGAAGTCTGGGAGTGTACATCGGATTTGGTGTAGGCGCTGCTGTTCTTGTCGTTGTAGTCGGTATCGGCCATTTATCTTTTCTTAATGGTTCGAAAAGTTCGAAAATAATGAAATTAAATAATTGCGCGGTTTAAACTGTTGTTATTTATCTACTGATATCATGCATGTAAGAAATCTGATTTTTTTATTGGAAAATTTGAACTATTCGAGCAAATCTAATATTTTGAGAGCTGAAAGCTCTGGTGCATGTCCAAAAACATTATGATTTAATTTTTCATCAGTGATACTTTATATGTAGTGTATTTTTAGGTAAAAATGTGTTATTTATAAGTAAAAAATGTCTCCATACATACACAGCAAATTTGTGGGAATATGCAAATCTGATTCCGCTTAGCTGAAAATCTGTGACGACGTAAAGTTTGTAAAAAGCACAAAATAAAAGATTCGGTTTTTTCGTGAGTTTATCTGAATGAACCCTAAGAGATTCTAAAAGAATCGTTTTGTAGAGAAACGAACTTAACATTTGAATTACACGCAGTTTAAATTTAAAATTAAACCACGAAATGTAAAGTACCTAACTGTACGTAAAGACGTATGAACAATTCTTTAATTTAAAGTTTAGGTCACATACTATACATAAACCTAGAAGAATTTCAAATGCAGATCAAAATTATGTTTTATACCAAAAACATTTTAATTTTTCTGTACATAAGCAAGGGGATATAGAGGTCGTTAACAAAGACATCAAGCTGAAAAATTACTTAAGCACGACTAAGAACAGACATGTTGCTTTATAGCTTGATGGTTTTTTAGTTTTAAGATGGCGAATAAGGAGTTTCGAATTGTTGGCCGAAAAGAAATATTTATTGTTAAATTGAACAGAATATTTCCTCTCAATCATTTCAATTTGATGTATTCTATTGATCGTGAATTAGGCAGCTGTGTTCAAAGAAGAATAATTGATATAAAGAATATGGTTAAATTAGAATATGGTGTCGATTATGAATGTGTCACAGTTGAAATGTTTCTAAATTTATATAAAGATCAGCGTCCTGAAAATAAAGTTGAATTATTTTGCGGGCAAAATGTTAAAGAGTTAATATACAATTATTCAAACAGCATACATTTTAAAACAGATGCATCCATAAATATGATAAAACCGTTCACAAATATTTGTTTAACATACAAGAAAGCTTTAGATCTTCAAATTAAAGAAAAAGTCTATGTTTTTACAAGTGAAGCTGTACAAAAGGGAATGATTTATTATGGTGAATGCTGTTGTGTTAAATATTATCCAAATGCATACGTTAGGAGGAGCAGGCGTATCATCACATTGGAAGCATTATATGGAAAAAAATATTTATATTTAGATGGTAAAAATGTTTATTCAATCCAATTATTGTTACGCTATTCATCAGACGTGGTACACATGTTCATTGGTTTTAAAAATTTTTGCAATTCGTATAATAAAACAATACCCCAGGTCGAAACTCTACGGCCGTAAACTATAGTATACGTCGAAATACATATCAATTCCAGATAAAATACGACGTCGTAATCCTTCTCCATGGTAGACGTCATCGTATTTTGTCGTAAACAGCTCGTATTTTGACGTATACTACAGTATCCATCATCATAAACTGTAGTATACCGCCATTTACCGCTGTAGTAATCATTGTCCTGGGACGCGATATATTATTACAGAATTATGATCGTTACAGCTCAGAACTTGAAAATCAAATATTATTAGATCCTCGTACGTTTGAAAATCCGTGGTTGTTATATTCAACAGCTCTATTTACATTTTTACAAGTAGTGAAACAGAAATAGAGATTCCATTTAACATTAGTGATAAACAAGAAAGAAATAATTATTTCGAGAAGAATTTTTTAAAATAGACGACAAATTTTACCTTATTCTGGACACATCATAAAATTAAACATCAATGTATTGGGGCACAATGTTCATTATGTCTGGTTTTAGACGGTTTTATGCAACTAGATTGTTTCATTGTTGCGTATACAGAAGAAATAATCAAATCACCCGAATTAGGTAACGTTGAAGTTTTAATTCGAACAGCGTTCCAAATAACATTTGAATTAAACCTTTTAGAGAATTTCACTATCATTTAGGATACAAAGAGCAACCCGATTTCACCTGGAAAGAAAATATGAGGCGACATATTCAAAGGTAGAGTACTTGAGGAGGTGCTTTACCCAAGGGGGAAACAACTGATTGAAATCAGCCCAAATCAGTTGAAAATCACCCAGAATCAATTGATTTTCAGTGATCCTCTGTCATTCTCTGTGATTTCCAATAACTTCCAGTCATTTCTGGTGACTTTTCATTGAGTGAAAATCAGTGAAATGAACGAAAATCGGAAAAATCCAAAAATCAGCTGTTTGCCCCTTGGCTTTACCTCTTGACGGAAAGTGAAGTTAATGCAAGTATTTAAAAAAGTTAAGATTTCAAGAAAACCTTTTGAAGCATTTTTGGTGTTTTCGAAATTACGTCACGTTCTTCTTTTCTGGCAGGTGATGTCGAATGGGGATGTGGTATTAGACCAGAAATGATAAAAGATAATAACAATCCCGGCTATTGGAAAGGTACAATTTATTGTGCAAAACATCTTTGTTTGACCCGAAATACTCACAAAATTGTTACAGGTGACGACTATGATGACGTTGAATGTAATGTATCAAGGTAATTAAGTTAAAGTTTCCATTCTGCTGAAGTTCTAATTCGTCTCCTTTTGGAGACGATCGATATTCAACTAGAAAACGTCTTATGGCGTAATTATAACAATGTTAAATTGCGGAATAATAATTAATTTTAGTGAATTATATCGATTAGAATCACCTATACGTGTGCTGGAACATTTTTTCAGAACAATCGAACGTTTTTCTCCATTAGAAAATGTTCCAAGGTTGTTAATCTATGATAACGCCTGCGGTTTACATAATACATTTTTTCGCCGTTATAATACAGACATAATAAACCATACAGCAGCAAGTAATAAATTGGCAACCATGAAATTTGTTGTTGATAAATTTCATCATGGTAACCATAAAAGAGAAATGTGCAAATATGAAACAAATCCTTACAAATATTCAGAATTAGATAATATTAACACCGAAGTAAGTGAGCAGGTAAATGCAAAATTAAAACATTACAAGAATGCTTTATCATCATATTCTGCACCCACTAGTCAGGTGTATTATCTCCTGCTATTTAAGAGCCATTATCCCGTAGACTAACACAGAGTGTGATTATTGATGTCACAGATTTACATGATATTTTTACTAGTTGTAGGTCTATATGTAACTAGATAATGATATAAATAACGTCATTTAAAACTCATCCGTTCTCGAATTATAGAGAGAACAATAGATGGTGCT